CCGCGCGGTGATCCTCGACCCCCACACCCCGCCAATCAACCCTTATAAAAACGTTTAATTTGTATAATTTGAAATCCATATTTTTTGTAATCAAACGAACGAACATTAACTACTTTTTGTACATACCCTCCTTTCAGTAGAGGGAATTTGAATCTGTGAACAGAAGATATGGTTGTTTAACTTTGAACTCGTTTAAATATTACTTTAAACTCACCCTCACCCTCGCCAGTGATGGCACACGCTCAACAGCAGGAACAACGACCGACCACAGCCGTGGAAAGGGTGTCCGTTCGGAAACAACGCACACGACCAGTGCAATCCTCGTTGGCATCGGTGGAAGGCGATCTGGCTGGCATCAATCCGACATACCTGTCCACCTAATGAATTCGTTCTATACTCCTTTACAATCGTAGTTATCATCATGCTTTTGCTTCCTCCCTTCGCCTCTCTTTTTTTCTCACGTTTTAAATGCATTCAAACGGGTCTTCTTACTTGCTCTGCACTCTCTTGTAGATCGAAACCATGGCGATGTTAATCGACGATGAAATCGTCCTGCTGCCTTTGCACAGCGAACGTCTGGCGAAGACCGAAGCACAACGACAACGGCAATGGCGACAAAACCAGCGCAAACACCGGCTCAATGACGAGCTGAGTCGTCTGCCGGTGGTTTCATCCGAAAGAGCGCCTTAGATCATCTTCGTCAACGCCAAGACGGGCTTTTTCGGGCTGGTGCGATTGGTCGAATGTGCACGTTAGACCCCTTACTTTACCCTCGACACCGAAACCGATTGCCACACACTGGCTCCAGCTCTGATTCAAATCGAATTCGTGCCCGTTGACGACGACGAGGACGAGCAACAGTGGTTATTCTGGAAATGAGCCACCTGCCTACGGTTGAATTACCGCTGTACATTCAAGTCTATCGATTAGTGCAGGCCATATTCCATCCTTCAAAGAGGCTCCTCGTCTGGGGAGATGGACCACAGGAACTGGCCAAGGTTGCCGTCCACCCTGTGTTCCAATCGGTCGCCATCGCCTCGCTCCAGTGGATCTTCGTGCAAGATCACTTGAAGGGCTGGTACAACGACCACCATCCGCACAACGTCGATTGTCCGATGGCATTCATCGGCCATGTGGCGGACGATCCAGCCTGCACGTGTGTGCACCGACCTTATAAGCGCCCAAACGATCAATAGAGCCTGCAACGAGCCGTGGCAGTAATCTTCGGCCAGTTCCTGGACAAAGCAGTGACACGCCCACCTCTACCAAAACGTGCAACGCATCTCCTAGTTAACCGATCTGGAAGGCCAAGCACGAGTGCGACTGGTGCAGTACGCCACGAACGATTGTTTGGCCACTACCAAGCTGGCTTGCACGATCACCACTGGCACGGACCTGATCTATCTATAAGTTTCCCTTCGTTTCCTTTTTTTGTTGCTCTTACGTATGGAGAAAAAACAAATCCACTAGTTTCGTTTACTCTCTCTAGATAGACACCTGTCTTTTCCGTCATGGCTGACCCGAACAAAAACGTCGCTGGCAGTGAGATCAATCGGTTCCAGGACATTTTCCACGGGCACGACGATGATGTCGACGAGAGCGACGATGCCAACATCGACTTCGATTACTACTTTATGAATTTTGGCCGGAATGAGCAGCAAGAGCAGGTGCCACCATTGGCTCCCGTCGTGCCCGAGGACGAAACCGATGTCATGGTCCATTCCACTGTCGAAGAGGAACATCTGTCGCAACGCTTCAGTCAACTCTCGG